GATTTGAGCTCCTCAGTTCTTGCTCTCATTTTTGCTCTTTCTTCACCTGACATCATTTATAAAACCAGGACCGTTACCTTTTGTTGTTGTTGTTCAGTGTCGTGGAGTTGGTTCCAACTCATAGAAACCCTGTATAGGATCTCCGAAGAGCGGCTAGAGAGCTTGAACCACTGACCTTGAGGTTCAAACTGACCTTGCAGTCCAGTGCATTAACCCACAGTGCCACACCATAACTTCTGCCTACCATCCTCTTTTCCTGATTTCGGAAAATCAAGTATACGTCTCTTTAGAACCAGGTATCCTTCAGGTTCTTAAAACTCTAGTGCTTATGAGTTGTTTGGACAAATACTCACTCAACAGGTGAGTTCATCAACCCCTGCTCCTGTCAAAGCTCCCAAAGTGGCTGATTGGGGAAACCCTCAATTCCAAAGGCCAGCATATAAAGAAATCGATCTGAGAGTCAGTGGATGTGGATTCCAGTCTGAGCAGTTGAACAAGTCAGATACCTTGTCTTAGGGCCTTAGAGCCCACTTCCATTAAAAAAGAGGTTCCACCAGAAGATAGCTAAGGCCTCTTTAAGTCAATAAGTCACAGCAACTCTATGACCTCTAACCAATAACATGAAAAAATGTAAATTTAAAAACAGGGGATATTTCACCTAGATGTTCAAATACCACATCTTCTTGGAGCCTTCCGGGAGTGTTCTGGCTACTATTATTACTCTGTATAATTCTAAAACAGGAGCATTCTATTCTGACTGGAATTATAATAATATGGATGCACACATCTAATCCTCCCCAGGAGACTGTTTTCTTCTTGAGGGCCAGAAATGAACCCTGTTCATCCCTCCACCCACAGCACACTGAATGGTGCACTATACCTATTTCCTGGGCTCACAGTGGCATCTCTCTCGGACTTTCCAGCTCCTTCCTATTCTGACTCTGTTCCACTTTGGCCGCCATACTTGCCTCTCTGTTGTTTCTGACCTCCTGCTCCTACCAGCTATACTCTTCCTGCTCCAAAAACACATCAGTGCTTTGCCATCCCCATACATTGGCTCACATCTGCTCCCCGCTGGAGTCATCTCTCACTCTGTCCCCACAAATCCTACCCATCCTCTAAGGCTCAGGTAGCATTGTCTCCCCTCCATTAGCTCTTCCAGATGATCCAGCCTAGCGATCCTTTCCCTGAATGGCCACAGTGTTTTCAGTGTCAATAGCGGAGTTTCTAAATGGAGAGGTCAAACCTGGAAGGACGCGAGTGACAGACAGGAAGGCAACAGATGTCACAGTTGACCAGGAGGGGCCAGCCACCTTAGACTCTGGGCAGCTATTACTATGATACTTAACACAGCAGCACGGTAAAGAGACAGGGGTTAACAGAGGGTGCACCATGTGCCAGGCATATATGAGGGTAAGTATTGCTACAAAATTACAGAAATTTTGACAAAAATATCAGAATGTGAAGCTATTGTTTTTCAGTATGTCCTCCATCTGGGTCTACACACTTTTGAAGGAAGTGTTCCCATCTCTCTAACACTGCCCTGAAGAATTCTGCACTCTTCGATTTACACAACACCAATGTGGTAGCTTTGGCATCCTTGAAGGACTCAAATCATACTCCTTTTCAATGTTCTTTGAGTTTGGAGAACAAAAACAAGTCTGAAGGCATGGAAAGATAGAGCAGCTAAGGACTCTAGACTCATGGAGGGAGAGGGGATGTGTGCTGGCAGCCAGGGGGGCAGGGTGTGCCCTTTGGATGTTTGAGTGATTGTATATTCCTGAGTGTTTTGGTGCACATCCAAAAAAAAAACCAAACGGAATAGAAGCAAATACTGTTGAATGATGAAGCATGCAGAAGATTGTAATCATGCAATGAAACATATATGATAGGATGAGTATAAAATTGATGTTCTCCATGTAAAGTATCAGTCAATTCACAATAAAAACTTTAAAATAAAATAAAAACAAGTCTGAAGGGGCAAAAGCAGGGCTGTATGGTGGATGGGGTAGGGTTTTCCAATGAAATTTTTGTAAGACAACCCTTGTTACCATTGAAATTGCTACTATTGGTGCAATTTCTTAGCCTTTTTCTAACTAAAGCAGCTTTCAATTTTCTGTCTTGTGTCCCTTGGAAAAATTTATCAAGATTATCCCACTGGAGTCCCCAAAACTAGTTGCCATAACCTTATGAACTGACCTCTCTCTTGAATTTAACTGACTCAGCAGATTGGACTTTAGTCATTAAAAAAAAAAAAAAACTAAATATATTGAAATGCCTCTAAATGTAAAATATGTAGCAGATTGGTTTTTTTTTTTTTTTTTTCTGAAGGCACCTTAACAAGAATAAGACAAGCATGTTACTGGTTACTGGGAGAACTTGGCTACAGCCATCCACTGATCACATATTAATGTTTTAGAAGTTTTTATTTGTAATAAACTTGATATGAACTGGAACGCTTGTAGCAATTCTTTTGGACTTACCCTCGTATATGTTAAGAACAAGAGGCTGAACATGAAGTTGGCATTGTATACGATAACTCTGGTAGTGGTTGCGTGCCGTGGAGTTGGTTCCGACTCAAACCCTATACAGGGTTTCAAAGGCTATAAATCTTTACGGGAGCAGAAAGTCTCATCTTTCTCCCACAGAAAAACTGGTAGTTTTGAACTGCTGACTTTAAGGTTAGCAGCCCGAATCAGAACCACTAGGCTATTAGCAAATGACAATTTGGAGTCGTGTATCAGTGTGTGTCTGTCTTCTCCATTGCACAGCTCCACAGCCAGGGATGCTGCTGAGAGGAGGTATAACCACCCAGACCAGGCTCCACCTCCCACTGGGTTCCTAACAGTGGCCTGCAATTTACCTGTGGGTCCCTAAGGAACTCTCACCACCCCAATCCTCACATCTAAAACTGCTGCTTATTCTTTCCATCTCACAACTTGGCCTTTTGTGACACCAGTCTGCTGGCCTTCCTCCTCCCTCTCTGCATCTCTTCTCAGTTTCCTCCTCCTCCCATGCTCCTCAGTTAGAGGCTAGGGCACCGCAGCCTCCTTCCTCCTCCATCTTTCCCGCTGGCGGCGTTCATCAACAGCCACCTCTATGTTGTGAGGCCCCTGCTCCCTCTGAGACTGACCTGTGCCTCTTAGGCTCAGACTCACCTCAGACCATCAGACAGGCTGCTCCTACGCCTGGAACACTCTTAGCCCTTGGACTCTGACTAACGCTAACAGTCTTCAGTCAGCTCTCAGCTTAGCTGTTACTTTCTTCCCCTTTTCAGTTTCGTTGTCATCCTTCTAGACTGTCAGTGTTTTGAGAGCGGGAACTGTGGCTGCCTTGTTGACTGGTTTTCTCCAGTTTAGCACAGAGCTTTGCCCATAAAACCAAAAAAAAAATTAAAAAAAAATTCACTGCCACTGAGTCCATTCTAACTCATAACGACCCCTTAGAGGGTTTCTGAGACTAACTCTACATCTTAACAGGAACAGACAGCCTTATCTTTCTCCTGTGGAGTGGCTAGTGACTTTGAACTGCTAACCTTGTAGTTAGCAACCCAACACCTAACTCTAAGTGCCTTCAGCACTTCTAGAGTTTTGCCCATAGTATTGGAAGAAGTGTAGCCAGAGTATTTATTGGAGGCCAGGATGGCCAAACTTCATCTCTCATACTTCAGACATATTGTCAGAAGGGACCAGTCACTGGAGAAGAATATCATGTTTGGTAAGGTCAGAGAAAAGGAGGAAGACCTCCAGCGAGATGGATTGGCAAAGTGACAGCATCAATGGGCTCAAGTATGGTAACAATTGTGAAGTTGGCCCAGGATCGAGCAGTGTTTCATTCTGTTGTGTATAGGGTCACTATCAGTCGGTACCGACTCAATGGCACCTGATAACAACAACATGGGTCCTGGTATAGTGCTGTAGCAAAGCACTGGACTGCTAATCACCAGGTTGGTGGTTCAAACCCAGCAGCTGCTCCTTGGAAACCCTATACAGGGTCACTATGAGTGGGAACCAACGTAACAACACTTAACAATAGCAACCAGGTAGCGCTAGGAAGCTGCAGATTCATATATCTGACCACTGCTGTTTATCTCTGCCAGGGGTATGCTGGTCCTACAGGCAGTCCAAATGCAGCACCCCCGACTCCTGTCTTCTAAACTTACTCTTCTTCCTGTACCTCCCACTAGACTCAAGAACACTGCCCTCACAAGAAATCTAAAAGTCCTGCCTCTGGGGGATACTTGCCCTCATATTTCTTCAGTCCTGCCATTGCCAACTAGGTCCAGGTTCTGCCATTTCTCAGCAGCCTCCCTGCATCCAGACTGTTCTCCCACCCTCTTCCCTCACACCGAAACAGGAATGAGCCCATGGTCTATGACTTTCAAGAACCAAGACCAAGACCTACAAAACTCTCCTAAGATTCTTGTCATCATTCCAGCTTTTCTACCACCTGTCCCACCTGCCAGCCTCATTAGCATGGAGTTTCTGAGCTTGCTGGGCCTACCGTACCCGCTTGTCTCTGGGTGTCACACCACTGCTTCCTTTGTCCAGGGTGCCCCTGCCCCTTCCACCACTTGGCAGCTCCTATTGGTTCTTCAGGTTCGGCAAACACCAGCATCATTTCCAGAAGGAAACGTTGGCCTTAGTTCGGGTCCCTTTATGGCCATCCCCTGTGCACACCTCCAGGATAACATAAGGGGGCTATGGGTCTGTGGCCCCACAGGTTTGTAAACTCTTTGTCTTCTTCATCTTCAAGCCCCCAGTCCTTGGCACAGTCCAAAGGACGGAGTGCATAGTGGGAGAGCTGAACAAATGAGGACCTTTTCCAATGGGATGAAGGACATCTTTAGAATTTGAAGTTCACAGCAGATGTTTGCCTGGTTGTTAGGAGATCCTGAAAGGGAAACTAAGCGAGAAAACCCTGGACCTGCCCTAGTTCAATGTCTTCTGGATGCAGAATTTATCATAAAGGAAAAAAGGAAAGGCCCCGCCCTCACTCACCTCTCACTGACAGTCAAGTTCTGTTGCTTTAAATAACCCAGGAAAGTGTTGAGGACCCAATTAGTCACCAATTTTGGCTCTGCCCTAGTTTCTTTTATCACACTTTGGAAGAACGCCAGTAGGCCAACTTCATTCTGAAAGGAAAAAAAATAATAATAAAATTAAAGCCTCCTAAAAATATGAAAGATCAGTGTTCTGAAGGCAAATCTGAGACTATCACCCTTTGTCTCTTCTGAGACATCTACTTCTTTGCTAACTACTGAGATGTCACCAGAAAATTCTGATCACTTTCAGTAAACTGCAAGTATTCTACTTTTCTGACTTCTATCACCATGCATTTATACAGCATTTTCTCAAAGGAATGAACGCATTTCTGAGACCCCGACTGCGTCTGAGGACGGTGAAATTCGCCCTCTCTTAGAGTGGACTGTCCTCTTAGCAGCAGCCTCACATTGCGAACGTATCTTTGAGCTGCAAACTGGGCCCACAGCATTTGGCTTCAGTTGAACGCCCATTCTCTTCTCAGACCTGTCTCTTGCTGTAAGGCTTAGTGATTGGTAGAATAAGATGAGAAGAGCAGTACATCAAGGAGGAACAAATAGAATATTGTTGTTGTTGTTTGTGAAGTGCTGTAGAGTCAGTTCCGACTCATAACGGCCCTATATAGGGTTTCCGTGGAGCAACTGGTGAGCTTGAACCGTCAACCTGAAAGTTCAAACTGACCTTGCAGTCCAGCGCATTAACCGCAGCTGCCACACCAGGACTCCAAACAGAATATTAGACCTTGGAGAAAATCTAAAGTGGATTGTAACTGTATTCATCTTCACATCCCCCGAAGAGGTAGCTAGGAGCAGAGGTGGCATCTGTTTTCCCAGTGAGGGAGCTGATGGCCACAGGTGACCCATGAGGTCACATGACCAGGGGAAGGCCCAGTCTGCCTCCCACACCTTCAGAGCTGAGCTGGGCTGGGACCGCCTCTCATATTGCTCTGCAAACATGATCAGCTGAGATGTCAACAAGGTGGAGACTTGACGGTTTCTCCCACTGTGGGCAGTAAGCTCCAGGACTGGACCCTGCTGTTCTGTTCACTCTATAATCAGAGCTGCAGGCAGAGCTGCTGTGGTAGCTGCTCGATGAGCATCAGTAGACAGTAGACCAAGCTCTCCCGTCACCATGCATGTTTGTTTACAATCACATAATCACTCTTACCCTTTATCATACCATGTTGTTGTTGCTGTAGTTAAGTGTTGTTGAGTCGGTTCTGACTCGTAGTGACCCTGTACAGGGTATCTGAGGAGTGGCTGGTGGGTTTGAACCACCAACTTTGTGGTTAGCAGTCCAGTGCTGATCCTACGGCACACCTTTGAATATCAGAATTACAATTAACCCTAAGAGCAACCCTGAGGAACTCATCAATGTTATATACTGTACTTTACTGCCAACTCAGATGGACTTAGCAGGACTCAAGAAGTTTACTCACAGCTTTTCAGAATGAAAAGCATGTTCTAGTCACTTATATAAGGGAAGGCTGACATTTCTAAATGCAGAAGGAACATATGCTAAGTGGTAGACTTTTCTCTACCTGCTGAAATTCTAATCAAACCACCCTTTCCTTGAAATATTCCTTTTCAGTTCACACGGCAGGTTCCCATCCCTGCTTCTTTTACAGATCCTTCATTAACCAAAAGATACTAGGAAGAAGCAAGGTGTACTAACGCAAGTGCTCTGAAAGCTTAACTATTGTATGCTGTAATATATACATAGATGCACATTAGCTATGTAGAAATTCTGTTTTAAAAATCGACATGCCCTTTTGTAACAGATAAATTCTCTGGTGACAAGCCTACTGAATAATCTCGTAATTATCTCTTGAATCTCTTTTCAAGCCAGTGCTATTGTTTTGCTCCTACTAAACTGGGGCAAAAGATCACTTTCGCCACCAAAGCTTGACTAGGCAACATGAAGAGCAAGTACTGTTTTAACTTATGGAACGGTATTCTAACTTCCACAATGGTATACAAACCACTGGGGAAGCAGTCTGAATTCCCTTTGTTCTAACCCAGACAGGCTGGACTGCCAGTGAAACGAGATGCCAGGAGAGCCAAGGAGAGCTTTTCGGAATCCACCTAGAAATAGTGCATTTGAACTTGCAGGCTTGGCTGAGTTGCTGGGACATGATGAATATCTCTTCTTCTACCCTTGGGTGGTTTTTTTATTGGATGGATAACATGGCAAGTCAGATTTCTGTTTGTCTTTTCATGTCAGTGCTGTGATGAAGCCTCTCCGAGCTGGAACTGTACTTCACTAGGGGATACACGGTTTCAGCCCACAATTTAGCAGATGTGAAAATCTACGCTTGTGATGGGCTGAGAGGTATGCAGAGCGGGCTCACAGAGGCCGAGCGGCTGCTGTCCAGAGAATGATGGATCAATAAAAGTTGCACATGGGCTGCCGGCTCAGCTTTTTAAGAAAACAAAACAAAACAAAAACCAACTACTGCCTTCTAGGTACGGTCTTCTCGGTTTTTCTAGGAGATTGGCAAATGGTAATGAGCTTGGCATGGATTGCAGAAGTCTCTGCAGAACACAACAGGGTCAGTCATTTGGTTTTCTCTGGAAAACAGCGGGCCAGGAATTCTCTTACATAAACATCTTATGAGGAGCAACGCACAAAGGCCACTACATAAGGGGGCCTTTAATGTCCTTCTCAAAGGCAACAAGCAGACATTCAGTGCAGCACTAATCTATCCTAAATAAGACAGAACTGCAGCTTCAGCTCCATGGTGCGCTAGACTTGTGGCTGATAGTGCCTCTAACTGTTCTTCCCGAGATGCAGAACGCAGCAAGGGATAACTGGTCCTGTGTTATGCATAATGTTAGAGAGTCTCTACAGCTCTGTGGCTGGGAAATAGCGTTTGCACATGTTATTCACATTTCCCACAACATTCAGTTAGAGCCAGAGCCACTGCCAGGTCAGCCTCTTAGAAGTTAACCAAACAAGCAAAGAACACCCTCTGCCACCAAATTGATTCTGGCTTATAACACCCCTGTATAGCATTCCTGAGACTGTAATCTTAACGGGAGCAGCCCAATGTCTAACCCACAGTGCCATCAGAAGCTAACAGACACCCTCAATTGTGAAATGTTCTGTTTGCTGGGAGCATAGCAGAGACAGTGTCTCACCCTCACTGCCTGTTCTGGGGAGGAGCCTCCATTTACTCTTGCATCGTGCCCTGGAAGTGATGTGTTCTAAGGTCATCTTCTGCATTCTACTTGCAGAGATAATAAAACACCAGAAAACTATCCAGTTGGAACAGGATGAAGGCTAATCTAATCCCTCAAGTGCAGTTCATGTCCTAAGTCTCACACAGCCTAAGAGCCTGGTGAGAGGACCCTCGATGTGGGTGGACTATATTTAACAGAATGAAACCTGAGAGAGACAGCTGCCTGCTGACAGGCTTACAGAAGTAAAAGCAGTCCCGAAAACATGAGTTGGGGAACAGCTGGTTATGTGGCAGGGAATGACCTGGTGGCTCCTAGGATCCCAGATCAGCAATGCTGCACTATTAGAAGGTGCTCAGCAGTTTTTTCTGAAGACCCACTAGGCACAACCATCAACAGTGAACACCATGGAGGCTGCCCCTGGCGTCTGCCGCTGCGGATAATTCAATTCTGAGGTAGGAACTATTACAATGCCCTTTTACAGATGAGGTACTGAGAGGTTAAGTAACTTGTGTGGGGTCACACAGCAAGAAAGGTGACAGAGCTAAGATCTACACCTTGCTGGTCCGGCTCTTGATCTGTGTGTGGTACTGCCTCTGACAAAGGTCTCTGCCTTCCTGGGGTCTGTGATTGAGCACCTGCCCCACACTAAGCACAGTGTGGAGGGGCTAGCATATTGAGGGGACGCACTGCCCACCATTCCCACTGTTTTAGTAATGAGCCGACAGCTCCTTGAAGGTTCTAAATAGATTTAAAAGGCTGCAAAAGCCCCCAGCAATTAACTTAGGAGAAGGAAGTGGCAGGCTCACTTCTGGCCTTGGCCAGTGTGCACCTAAATAGCATGACACTGTCAGCTGTGACGTAACACACGCCTCTCTGAGAGGAAGCAGGCCTGCCCAGCAATGCACCATAGGACGGGAGGGCATCCAAAGCACTCCTGGGCACTCTGGTCTAACCTCCTCGTCACATCAAAAGAGTATACAATTGTCAAGTATCTTCAGATGTTTGAAACAAACCCATAACCCATTACTTTCTCCCCCCCACCCCCCATTACTTCTTATATAGTATAGTGCACATACAATATTTTAGAAACCTGGTATAGCACTGTGGATTAATTTGCCAGACTGCAAAGCTGTTTGAACTGCAAGGTCGGCAGTTCAAGCTCATCAGCTGCTCCTCAGAAACCCTATACAGGGTCACTATGGGTTGGAACTGACTCAACAGCACTTAACAACAATATACTATATTTTATTGTATATATTCTACTTCGGGTAACTCGGGTGTTGGGCCTGTACCTAGAGGAGACCACAGGCACCTGTAGATGAACCACAGTGGGTTCAAGCAGCCAGGTTCCCAGGTCATGACCAGTCACCAGGTGAAGGCACAGGCTGGATATGCATCCCATGGGGCAGGGTACACAGCATGGAAAGTCAGATTTCAGACCCTGAGCACTTTTGCATCTTTGTAGGAGGGCCTAGCACCTGAATGCTAATTGGGGGGTGGGACGCTCTGTTGTTCCTTCATTATTCCTGTGAATTTGGGCATTCTTAAAAAGTCAGAAAGAAGCCCTGGTGAGGCCCTGTGGGCAAACACTGGACCACAAGGTCGGTTTGAGCCACAGAGTCTATGGTTCAAACCCACCAGCCGCTCTTTGGAAATCCTATACAGCAGTGCTAAGAATCAGACTCTATTCAATGGAAGTTAACAACCAAGTGACAAAAGGAAACCAAACTCAACAACTTTGTGAAAAATGGCTCCAAAAGTAAGAGCAAGGGCCACTCCTGTGGGCAGAAACAGAAAGCAGAGCCAGAGGTTGCAACACTGATGCGCTCTGCCAGAAAGCAGAAGTGATGGTAGAGAAGTGCTTGAATGTTCCGTGGGGCAGAGATGTGGATGGAGGATGTGAAGGAGCC